GTCTTGGAGTACATTGTGGTTAGTTGGGCAGCCCTTTCATAGTTACATAGCTAGTCTGGCTGAAAAAAGACAAAAATCCACCCAGTTCAACCATAGAAAAAAAAGTTATAATCTTATACCCACAGTTGTAGTAGTAATTGTCCTCCTGCTTCTTCTAATAATTCAATTCTACTACTCTAGCTAGTGCTAATAACACTGCTACTATTACTACTTCTACTACTACTAAAATGAATACAGCTGCTACTACTAATATAACACTTTTTTACACTATTACTTAGTAGCAAAAGTAGAAGTTAGTTGGGGTAGCAGTCAGTGTGGTGTTACTAGTAGTAGTAGTAGCAGTAGCAGTGTTATTAGTAGTTAGGGATGCACTGATGCTGCTATCTGTATTAGTGCCAATACCAAGTATTTTCACGAGTACACGTATTGGGATTTTTTTTTTAGCAAAGACATATAGCAGAATATATTTTGGCCTAAATTTATGATGAAATTTGATTGTGAAATTTTTGTTACTGGACATATTTAATAGCAAAAAGTCCAAAAAATTGTTATTTTTTCAAAATTGTTGGTCTTTTTAAAGCGCAAAAAATAAAAAAATGCACAAGCAATCAAATACCACCGAAAGAAAGCTCAATTCAAGGGGAAAAAACAATTAGGCCACAAGATAGAGATATGGAGATGCTGACCTTTCCTTCCTGAACATTCAGAGACACAAAGGATACTGGGAAGCAAAATTTGTCAGCATCATCAGGGCACTATATTTCTTACAGTTGGACAGCATTTCCCAGAAGTCTAAGAGCACAGGAGGGGTTACAGGGGACGGAGTGAGGAGAGAGAGAGCCATGCTGGCCAGCAGCACCAGAGAGAGAGAGGATGTGCCATGGGGAATGATGACTGTCTGGCACCGCACTGCCAAGAGAAGCTGAAGGACAGAGCTGCTGCCAGTATCAGAGGCGTCCCTAGGGTTGGTGTCACCCAGTGCGGTAACACTTAGTGACACCCCCTCCGACATTCCCCGCAGAATGAATCGGATCTGCGGATTGAGCATAATGAATCGGACTCCGAGCTCTGATGAAGAAGTTTCGTCCCTCAAAACACGTCAGCTGTTCCCTGAGTGTCCACCTCCTCTGATGGGACTCGCGCTGGCTGTTTTTATCCTTAGTCCCTTTGAGGACTTACATGCATGATATACTTCAGTGTTTGTGAGTATTATTCTGTAATTAATAAACTTTGGCTTACGGAGGTAATGCGCAATGTTGGTGCGCTCTTTGTTTGTTTTCACTTTACAGTATTGGTCGGGCTTCCCCAGCCTTGTTTCGAGCTGCACAACCCCATATGCAGTGGTGGTAGAAGCTTCCAAGTCCTGACTCCATCTACCTACCCCATGTTGGGTCATAGAGCGCAAGAGAGTTTGTTTTCTTACCAATGATGGAGCACTATTCCTTCCCCTGATACCAATAATGGGACACTATTACGTCTACTTATACCAATGATGGAACATTGTTTACTCCCATTGACGCCAGTGCATTTTCTACTCCCAATGGGCACAGTCTGGCCTCCTCAAAGTCTGAAGGACAGTAAACTTGCCCTTTGTTTAGAAAGTTTGGAGACTCCTGCTCTAATATTATAATCTATGGATGTCCTGCATGGCTCAATGACAGCACACCTGTTACACAATTTGTTTAGGAGGATTTGTTTAATCTCTGTGTATCACCTGAAGCCAGTCTTTCCACTAGGTATAAGTAAGGGTTTACAACCACTTTAAGAAACTTGTATGCATTAGGCATTAGGTCAAATATGCTGAAAACTACTGTATGTTTTTGTTTTTCATACATTTTAAATGGGATCAAAAAGGCAACAAAGCAAAAATGCAGTATATGGAACTTTTTCCATACAGGTCTTGTAGAAAGAAGAAGGAATCTTACAAAATACAATAGATTTCTGTTTGTCCATGCCATTTTCCTGTAATGCAAAATGCTGAAAACTCTATGGCACCGTGCCCAGTGTGAATGAGCCCTGAGAGAGCACTAAACTGGAGTTTCACTTTTAAATTTCAAGTCTGTCGCTAAAAAATTACTATATAGGACTTCTGAGAGTAATCTTGAGAGGCCTTACTGGTATTTATTGACATTATCATGTAATGTGTATAAGATATAAAAAAGTGTAATAATAAAAGACACACAAATCAGTTCCAATTAAAATTTAGACAATGCTGTCTTCACACAAATACGTCTTATGCTTGTTAGATCATGCTAATCTAAGTACAAGTGCACACTGTATCCATCAAGCCCAGTTAAAGCATCAGCCCACCCCAAATCGGTATTGGTAGCAGCCACCAGATGGTAAAAGCCCCCTAAGGGTTTCTTATATCTCTCAGGGACTCAAGGGTTAAGTTCTCATAGGTGTTGAAAGATTTTTTAGCCGTTTTGCTGCCAGAGCTGTTTTTAAATTTTTTTTGCACACATGTTTAAAACATTATTTCAGGCCTGAAGATCACAAAAAAACCCTAAATAGTAGATATTTTCTGAAAGCAAACATCTTTGACAATAAAAAAGTGGTAGTTCCAATTTCTTTATGTCATCGGTCTAGGAAATGAAAAATTTCAGTAAAAAAAACACACTAAAGTGAATTTTAGGGCAAACAAATGCAATGAATTACCAAAACTTTTGATAAAATATAAAATATGAGGTTGCGTCGAGTAAATAGATATCTATAGGCGACGCTTCAAAAGCCCCTATAGGTCATCAGTTTAGTGGTACGGAGGAGTTCTTGTGCTAGAACAATTGTTCTCACTCCGGCGTGCTCGGTGATATGTAACATGTATCGTAATTGTCATTTTCACACATAGAAGCCCTAATGTGTGCGTTTTGGTTTGTATGTGCGTATATGTGGGGGTGGCGGGGGGGCCTCAAAATTTTTTGGGGGGAGATGTATGTGCTTGGGTGTAACTTTATTTTTTTTGCCAATATATAGTAATTTTTGTTTATGTAACTTTTTTTTTATCACATAGGGGACACAAAGTCCCCTATGCAGTTAGTTTTAGATGACAGGTTCTCTTTATTGAGACATGCAAGGTCTAAAAGATCACTAATGTCTCCTCTGGTCACCACTAGATCGCATTTGCAATACGTTTCCCCAGCTATTTTAGATGGGGAAAGTGACAGCCGTAACCCGGAAGTGACTTCATACACATCACCTTCCTGGTCACAGAATGAAGGGGAGGAGAGTGGACGTTCATCCACTCTCCAATCCCCCCTTCACCCGCTGCAACTCGCCATGACACTCCTTGAGCAAACAGATGGTCATGCAAGGCCCAGATACATGGTGGGGGGGGCAATGATATCGGGGTCTGTGGAAGTGATCAGGCAGCAGCACAGCCATCTGACTGCTTCCACCTGAAAGGTTGGAGTCTGTCAGTATTGAACACAATCCTGGTGGTTGCAGCCACTGGATTGTGTACAAAACCCCCTACTGTCAGGTATGTATGAGATACAGACCTGGCAGCGAAAGGGTTAAAGGGCATGTCAAACCAGTAACTCTTTGTTTCTAGTTTTGGATAATGTGGGGAAGGACTAGAACTTCTAAATAAAGGAACATTCTATTCAAGTATGTATTCTTTACTTTAAAAAGTTTCTTCTATTGTTCTCAGCCTTCCAAATCTCCAAATTCCTTTTCTTTTTTGCTGCCATGATCTGACTCCCTGTTAGATGGTGGCTACCTTCTTTCTTTATGACCCCACTGTACGCATGTAGGAGCAAAGTCACCTTCTCTTGCTCACTCCTGACAAGGACTATGGACTATGGGATTTGTAGTGGGTATGGGAGCAGTAGACTTGACATCAACTAATGTACACTGCTCATTCCAAACAAGCAGAAGTGAAGGAAAAATTAGAGATTTGGGGAATCATATGGGACTCACCAAGAGTCAGAGAAACACAGTAAGAAACAATTTAATGAAAAATAGACTACAGGGCTATTAAATAGCATATGTGTGTGGATTATTTTCAGAGAATAAAGATATCATTTAGAGTCACTGTAAAGAGTTCCCCTCACTTCCTATCTGGTAAAACATTGTCAGCAGGACAGGAGCATTTGGCCTATTGCATTTTTTTTATCATTTTCAATGTGTTTAGGAGTCACTTGTAAAGCAATACCTGAAGCATTCAGAATGTCATGTGGAATACTATGTAATGTGAATGTTAAGTGCTTGCAGAACACATTGCAAATGTTTATGTGGCCAGGTGCTGGGATACAGCAATATGGAGATGGTGACATTGCCCTTTATTCTTCTCTCCCTCTCCTGGGATACTGATGTTATGCTGCTCCATCCTCCTCTGGCCAGAAGGGGGAGAGCTAAAGCTAAGCAAGCCTATAGACTTCTATGCAGAGCGCTGAGAATCCTGGAGTTGTAGTGTGAAATGGCAGCCATATAATTGCTACACTATAATAGTTACACTACAGATCACAATATGTACTGTGCAGTAGGAAGAGAGGAGAGATGATTTTTATTAAACTGCCCCGGAAAGTTCTTCCTCTTAGCACCAAAGATGTTAGAGAGAGAGAACCTTCACCTGCCAACTGGAGACCATACCAGCGGCGATTAGAGCCTGAGACTAGGAGTGAGGACACCAGAGGCAGCATAGCACTGTCCATATCACAGCACCTGCACCACTGCCATAGGGATTCTGGAGCATTCACTCACCCTCTGCTTCCCATCACTGATCACTGGAGGCTTTTGAGGAGAAATCGAGGAGGCTTCCCCCCTCTTCACTAAGAGGTCAAAATAGCATCCCAGGGACTGGTGAGAGGACTATTTAACCAGACAGCAAATGTCTCCAATCCATACTTCACCATACTACACTCTATACTGCACTGATTACAAAACTAAAATGCACCTATACCAACCTTATACCGCATTTTACTGAACCTTTATCACATCTGAACTACATCTGTCTTGCACTCGTGGAATATACTGTACCTATATTGTATGCAGGTTAACTGGGTGTAAGGGACCGCCCGGCGGTACCACTAGCGCTCCACTGATCAGGCGTCCCCAGAGCACGGAATCTAAGCCCCAGAGCACTTATTCACCAGGGCCCCTGAAGGTGGGGATGGACTTGGAGTACCATGAGACCAGGTCGTGACTACTGAGCACGCCCGTCAGTGGTAGGGGCATTTGCCAGGGGCTCCCACAGGGGAGAGCCTGCTATGAGGAGGTTGGGTGACCCCGATGGGATGGATGGCTGAGCAGGTGCAAGGTCAGACAAGCCGGGTCGGTAGCCGTGGGGACGGTGCGGTACAAAGCAGCGGGCAGAGAATAGTCGGGTCACAGGTCAGTAACAGAACGTCAGATCCAATAGGGGGCATCCGGAGAGAGGTCAGGCAAGCCAAGGGTAAGAGCAGGAGAATACAGCGTGGTCAGGTACAATCCGGGTCAGCAACTTACAGGATACAGGTTCACAGGATCAGGAATGCAGGTAAGACCAGAAGGCACTGAATGACAGCTCAGGGCCGTTTAAATATCGCGCCCTGCGCCGTCATTGGTGCCAGGCACGCGCCCGCGGCTCCTAGTGCGCATGCGCGAACCCGGACGCCGCGGCCGGCCAGGACCTAGTGCCCGCGTCCCTGTACAAGGTGGCGCACTGCGCCTGCACCGGGACCAGCGCCGCAGGGATCCCTGACACTGGGACTGTTGTTAAGTGCACCAACTCTATTAAAGGGTCTCAACGATAGCGGGCAGAAGACCATCTCAAAGGGCTGCCCCTCTCAGAACAACTATTCAGCAAGCCCCTCTTTGTTACCCTGCCTCCTCCATTACTATCCTTCTTTTCTTTTGGACAATGCATACCCATTCAGTCTAGGACTAGCATCGTCACCATAAATACACTATGTCAGTATGGTTCCAGCACTCAATAGATTAAACTTTACTACTGTTCACTGCTGCATTTGAGGTAGCTTTGCTACTGATTATGCTGATCTGCATGGCAATTGTCATCTTATTCCTTACTCTTAATCACTTCGTATGCTAAATTATGTTAAAACCATTGTTAATCCATTCTATGCTTGCTTAGTTACCAACCAATATGAGGTGATAATATATTAAATTTGCCTTTACTACCTGGTTTGATGCCTTTTTTTCTTTTATATAGCACTGCTACTGGGTACTAAATATTGCCTTCAGTGATTTCCTGTGATATTGTATGTTTGTGCGTTCAAACTTATATGTTAGAAGGGCTCAGATTTTTTTGGAAAAGGTCGAGGCAAAGAACAGAGGACCCATTCTAATAAGCATCCCCTACAGGGGTAGAGCTAGATTTACTATGCGTTTATAGAGTGTTTGCAGCACACTGCCATTGATGCATGATTTGAAGCAAAGCAATCTAAACACACAATAAATTTGTGTAGTAGACCATTCAGTATTATGTTAATGGATAGCAATTGGCAATGCCGTTGCAAAGCATTGGAGGAGTATTTCATACTGCAAAGCAAAGACCTATTCTTTACACCCATTTGAATGAGCCATACTAGCGAGGTCTCCGTGTTAGAGTTCCCTGGAGTCCCTGGTTAACAGCTGAATGGGCTGGGCAGGGCTGACTCATGGTTGTCAGAATGTCTGTGACTGCTAGCTTTCTAACAACCAGCCTGAGGGGAAGCTGTCACATTTCGCAGTGGTAGTAATAAAATGTAATCTCAAAAGTGATCAGAGGTGTAGCTTCCTTCCTAAGGTGGGTAAGAGTGCTAACTGCTTGTGTCTAAGTAAGCATAAAGTAGTTGCAAAGGTAGAGACTGTTATTCTGTATACCAGACACATATCAAAGAAAGCTTGTATTTAAGAGCCCTTCCCTTTTTCATTTGTCAGCATTTCTCTCCAATGCTCCAGTGTAAGGGACACAAGAGTGACCACCAGGGGCGGACTGACCATTTGAAAACTCGGGCACTGCCCGAGGGCCCGGGGTCAGTAGGGGGCCCCATGAGATGCCCCTGGTACCTTTTTCATAGGCTTTTTTGAGTTTGGGCAAGGACACAGGAGCCCCATGATCTCCAATTGCCCGGGGGCCCCATGAGTTGTCAGTCCACCCCTGGTGACCACCAATGTAAGTGGCAGAACACTCACCACCAATGTAAGGGGTACAAAACTGACCACTATTGTAAAGTGGGCACAGACAGTGACCACCAAGGTGCAGTGCACTACACTGACCACCAATGTAAGGGGAATTACACTGACCACCATTGTAAGGGGGCACAGTCTTTGGCCATCTAATATAAGTGGCACAATACTGAGCATCAATGTAAGGGGCACAAAACTGACCACTATTGTAAAGTGGGAACAGATACTGACCACAAAGGTGCAGGGCTCTACACTGAATACTAATGTAAGGGAAATTACACTGACCACCAATGGCCATCAGTGTAAATGGCAAAATACTGACCACCAATGTAACGTGCACCACTAATTTAAAGGGGGGCACAGACACTGACCACCAAGGCAAGGGGCACTACAGTGATTGGCAGAACACTCACCACCAATGTAAGGGGTACAAAACTGACCACTATTGTAAAGTGGGCACAGACAGTGACCACCAAGGTGCAGTGCACTACACTGACCACCAATGTAAAGGGAATTACACTGACCACCAATGTAAAGGGGCACAGTCTTTGGCCACCTAGTATAAGTGGCACAATACTGAGCACCAATGTAAGGGGCACAAAACTGACCACTATCGTAAAGTGGGCACAGACACTGACCACAAAGGTGCAGGGCTCTACACTGAACACTAATGTAAGGGAAATTACACTGACCAACAATGACCATCAGTGTAAATGGCACAATACTGACCACCAATGTAACGTGCACCACTAATTTAAAGGGGGCACAGACACTGACCACCAAGGCAAGGGGCACTACAGTGACCACCAATGTATGATGCATTACACTGACCACCAATGTAGGTGGCATTACACTGGCCACCAATGTAAGGGGGCACAGACTTTAGCTACCAGTGTAAATGGCACAATCATGACCACCAATGTAAGGGGCGCACCACTGAGCAGGAAGAGGGTACAAAAGAGGCACACTCACCATCAAAGTAGGGGGCACAAACATTGACCAACAATGTAAGGGTCACAATACTGGCAGACCAGGGGGCACAGACCTTGATCCCCAGTGTAAGGGGTCACGGACCCTTATCAACAGTGTAAGAGACACAAGACTGATCACCAATGTACACAATGACTAAGAATGTGAATAGTATCAGACTATGAGCTGCTGCCTTTTAAATGCCAACATTTGTAACATTTAGGTTTTATAGTTTTTTAGACTTGGGTGCCTCATTTTGCATACTTTTACAGGGTGCCAAGAAGGAAAAAAAGCTGAAAAACAAGGAACACTGCTCTAGAGTTTTGCATAAAGTGTATTAAAAGCTTCCTGTCTGATACTAAAGGTCAAAAAGCAGGAAGATAGATTCTCTCTTGCGGTCTAGGACCAGTATTGACGACAACTCTCATATTGTTACATATGCCTAGACTTTTTTTTTCTTGGGAGTTATTATTATTATTATTATTATTATTACTACGAGTTTATATAGCGCCAAAGGGTTTGCTCAGCGCTGTACAATAGGGGGGACAATACATGGCACAGTACAACAACAACAAACAATGTACGAGGGGTAAGAGGGCCCTACTCTTACGAGCTTACAATCTAGGAGGGAGGGGGTAAAAGGTACAGTAGGAAGTGGCTGAGGGGGATGAAGTGGTGGGAGGAATGAGGGAGGATGGCCGTTAGGTGAGGGTGGGGTAGGCTTCCCTGAAGAGATGGGTTTTGAGGGAGCGCCTGAATGTGAATAGGGAAGGCGACAGTCTGATGGATTGGGGCAGTGAGTTCCAGAGGATGGGGGAGGACCTGGAGAAGTCCTGCAGTCGTGCATGGGAGGAGGAGACCAGGGAGCAGGATAGAAGGAGGTCCTGTGAGGAGCGAAGGGTACGGGTAGGGTGGTACTTGGTGATAAGGTTGGTGAGGTAGTCAGGGGCAGTGTTGTGAACGGCTTTGTAGGTCAGGGTTAGGAGTTTAAATTTGATGCGTTGGGCAATCGGGAGCCAGTGGAGGGAGAGCCAGAGGGGGGTGGCAGAGGTGGAGCGGGTGGTGAGGTGGATGAGTCTGGCAGCTGAGTTCAGGATGGTCTGGAGCGGGGAGAGCCTGCACTTGGGTAGGCCAGTGAGGAGGGAGTTGCAGAGTTGTAAGGGACCGCCCGGCGGTACCACTAGCACTCCACTGAATAGACGTCCCCAGCACACGGAATCTAAGTCCCAGAGTGCTTGTTCACCAGGGCCCCTGATGGTGGGGATGGACTTGGAGCACCCCGAGACCAGGTCGTGGCTACTGGGTCTGTCCGTCAGTGGTAGTGGTATGCGCCGAGGGCTCCCACGGGAAAGAGTCTGATATGAGGAGGTCAGAAGACCCCCCTGCAAGGGATGGATGGATGGATGAGCAAGGTCAGGCAGGCCGGGTTGGTAACAGAGAGGACGGTAAGGTACAAGGCAGCGGGCAGAGAATAGTCGGGTCACATGCCAGGTCAGCAACAGCAGGTCAAATCCAATAGGGGGCATCCAGGAGAGAGGTCAGGCAAAGCAAGGGTCAGGACAGGAGAATATAGCAAGGTCAGGTAAAATCCAGGTCAAAAACTTACAGGGCACAGGTTCACAGGATACAGGATGCAGGTAAGACCAGAAGGCACTGAATGACAGCTCAGGGCCATTTAAATATCCCGCCCTGCGCTGCCATTGGTGCCCAGCGGGCGGCCGCGGCTTCTACTGCGCATGCGCGAACTCGAACGCCGCGGCCGGCCCGGACCTAGTGCCCGTGTCCCTGCACAGGGCGGCGCACTGCGCCTGCGCCGGGACCAGCGCGGCGGGGATCGAGGAGATCCCTGACAGGAGTGCAATTATTTACGATTATTAAAATGGTTATTTTTTAATACTACACCTAGATGGCGCTTGTTTTTCCTATCTCCTGGTCTATTCTCAAGCTGCCTCCTAGTGGACATATTGACCATATTAGGTCTTTGGAGATTTTTATTCAGAGTCATCCTCTCACTGTCTTTGTCTAGTAACGCTCAATTAGTTTCTTTTATTTAGACTCTCTCTATACCTAGGGATGAGAAATGTATTTGAGGATGGAATGCTGGTAGGAAAATAAAGGGGAAGAGCACAAAGACAAGAAAAACAGAAGAGGGAGAACAAAAAAAAAGGACATGAGCCTTGCTTATTGTGGCTCTTTGCAATGTTCCTCTCTAGGTGTGCCCTGGGTCCTAGACAGTAGCAACACCCTTGGTTCTGGTAGCAGATCCTTTGATGACTATGTCCACCATTGTTTCTAAAGAGTAACAGCAGGGGGATGGGCCAGAAGGGCTGACTGGGGACCTGAGATAAGGGGGATCGAGGTTGCTCTGTGAAAAAATATTACACAGAGCATATGTTTGTTATTTTAAAGAAAAAAGAACCTGTATAAGCACTTTAAAGTGTATCTAAAGCTTTTTTAGTTTTGTATGGAGTCTTGAGTCCTTAGAATCCTTGTCATGTTCTTATTTCTGCCTGTGCCTCTTTGTTGAGATTTACTTTCTTTACATGTCCTGCTGACCAATACCACTAAAATCTAAAGTAAGGGAAAATCTTAAAACAGGAACAGAAGGTAAATCTTAAAATGGAGACTCTTGGTCTAATGGCAACTATTTAAGGGGCTGTAGCACCTCCCTTACCCTCAGGGGCATGTAAGGTACCCTCAGAGACAGGGTGCACATTTTCTCATGGCTCAAATATAGGAGATATATAACAATTGTGCACCAGTCACCTTAAGGTCTTTTTCAAGACTGAAATCAGTCAGCAAATTGTACCTTTACCATTTTCAGATGAAACAACATCTCCAGTGGCAACAACAGCCTCAGTGATCCTCTTTGTGCTTTTCCAGCCTCTCTGTGAATTCCTTGTCTTCAGGATCTCCAGAGTCATCTCTCCAGAGTCATCTCTGGTACTTCATCCAAACTATTACTTCTCCTTTGTCCAGATTCAAGTCTTCTGTGAAGGCTCCCTGAGCCTTGGACTTTCAGCAGCAGGATCACATTGGACAGGCAGGCTTCTCTGTTCCCAGACATGTGCATTGAGCACATGCAAAGGATTCCTAGGCACCAGGCCCAGTCACACAGCTGCATAACATACACCACCATCCATGGCAGCAACCTGTGGGGGGAGAGAGATCTCATCAGGTCCACTCGAATATTTATGTCCTTCCCCAGCATACACCACTGGCAATAAACCTCCTAGTGGTTGACATAACTATTCAGTTTTACTGTGGCTTCTCACTCTAATAACACCTACCAACAACAGTAACACTAGGCTTAGGGGAAAACTAAATGAATAAACATACTACGGGGTTGATTTACTAAAACTGGAGAGTGCAAAAACTGGTGCAGCTGTTCATGGTAGCCAATCAGCGTCTAACTTCAACTTTACAGTTTAATTAAGCTTTGACAAAAAAAACCTGGTAGCTGATTGGTTTCTATGCAGAACTGCCCCAGATTGTGCACGCTCAAGTTTTAGTAAACCAACCCCTATAAATAAGCATGGGCTGTCTATCACTCAGTAAACTAAATCTGGATAGTCACTCTTGCTTAGAGCAGGTTGGCTACAGAAGAATTTCCTTCCCTTTGGAGACATTCCCTCTCACTTCCTGCTGTGGGACAGGATGTGAAGAAAAATAGCATAGAGATGGTGTAGAGCAGCCTTTCTCAACCTTTTCAATGCAGAGGAACTGTTGACATAACTTTCCGGTCTCAGGGAACCCTTTGCTAAAAATGACTTTATCTACAATTCATGATACATTAGTGTGATAGTCAGAGGTAAGAATGCTCCTTACACTTGTGGACATTGGGAAGAATTACCCCCTTACAGATTGCTAAAAAGATCAATGGTGTCAGTGGGAACTTACCTGAGAGGCAAAAATTGCTCATTGCTCAAGGAACCCCTGGCAACCTCAGGAGGAACCCTGGTTGAGAAACACTGGCATAGAGAGTGTTAACCATTTCCTACTCTATCCCACAAGAAAAGTTTGGCTTTAGATGTACTTTAAATACACTTTAGTTTTCTAAATCATTGATGGTTTTGATGAATGACTCTCGCGTGTATGGGAAGAGGTTAAAGAGTTCCACCGAAGCATTACAAATGTGCTGTTGTATGAAGCTCCATTCTTCAGATAGACCTGAGTGCAAGTGGAATGCTGAAGATAAGCCTGCCTTCATGCTTGTGATTATGTATGAAGATTTCCTCCCACTTTGTAGCTAACCAAATTATCTACTTGTTTACAAAATAACTTATTAGAAGAATGAAAAAGTTGCCGATAAAAAAAAAAAGAAAGCGCTTCATGTTGTTTGAGGGATAAAAACTGTTTATATTTTGATTTCCACTGGGAGTTTCAAGTTTGAAGGGCATTTTATTGCTGGTATGGTTCTTAGAACCATCACAAATTCTGTTTCCAAGGAAACCATCTGTGGCCTACAGCCTGCCCCCTTTATTCGCCGTAATCATGCAATTGCTGCTGAACATATTGTGCCTGAAGATGTACAGGGGGTTCTCTCGAGAAGCATAAGTGGCTGTTCTGTCTGTTATTGTCATAACATATTTACTAAATTTTTTTATAGAGGAATTATCTTTTTCTCACTTGTTTTATGTTATAAAGAAAGGAAACACAGTCAAAGGGAGAATGACCGTTTTCAGTGTTTAAATGGACTTATATGGTTTTTATATATCGTTTTCCATACACGCATAAAAAAGATCAGTTGGATGTAAATAACCTTTATTAGCGTGCATTAATGTTTAACCTCTTGTTTAACCTTCATTACCGGGTAATCTTTCAGTTTTCAGTGCTATGATAGTTTGTCTGACAATTACTCTCACGCAACACTGTACTCAAATGCATTTGAAAATCATTTATTTTTTAGACTTTTTTTTAATATTAAACAGTTAAAAAACTGTTTTCCTTACTTTCTTCTAACAAAAACATATCAAATAAAAAGACAAGGATATTACAGGTATCTACAAAATGACCCCTTTTTTGGAAAGTAAACATCCCAAAGTGAACTCATTTGTTGCCACAATTTTTGGAAATGAAGAAACATGCTGGTATCAGGGGTGGACTGACCATTTGGAAACTCGGGCACTGTCCAAGGGCCCGGGGTCAGTCGGGGGCCCCATGAGATGACCCTGGTACCTTTTTAATAGGTTTTTTTTGAGTTTGGGCAAGGACACAAGGGCCCCATGATCCCCTATTGAGGGCCTGGGGTCAGTAGGGGGCCCCATGAAATGCCCCTGGTACCTTTTTTATAGGCTTTTTTGAGTTTGGGCAAGGACACAGGGGCCCCAAGATCCCCTATTGCCGGGGGCCCCATGAGTTGTCAGTCTGCCCCTGGCTGGTATTGAGGTACTTAACCATGAAACTTGGTAACAGTGCACTAGATATAGCTCATCGTTCATGAACAGGTCGTACACATAGGGAGGAGGTGAAGAGGTTAATGTACAGGTTACATACAGCGAGAGGATGGAGATGAGAGGCTAATGTGCAAGATAAGAAAGAGAATACACAGGGCACATAGAGAGACAACATGGAAATGAGATGTTCAGGAAAGGAGGGAGGTCAAAGGGTTGAAAAAACAATCCCACAGACAGTTAACACCCCTTACTATGAATCTGCTTCTGCCTGTGATCCCTTTATTATTTGGTCTTCATTCATAAAATTCTACTTTCTCCCCTTCTTCCATTGTAAGATGAAGGAGCTGTTCTCAAATGAAAACACTAGAATGTTTACATTTCTGATCACTGTGATTGGTCATCACAGCAATCACAAGGTATACACTCCAATCAGCTCTGTACAAAAACATACAACAATAAAATAAATATATAAATGAATAAACAGTGTTCAATGTGCCAAATGTGAAGTCTCTCTTAACCTTTTCCCATTCCGCCCATTGCCGATAAATGGCCGGAAAGGATTGGGAGTTTCTAAACGTTCCCACGCATCCATTGTCTGTGCTCGCTCCCTGGGAGCGTGCAGCGCCATTATCTACGCCCACTTTGACACAGCGGAACACAGATCTATGTATAGGGCCATTGTGTGAGGTCCCGATTCATGTGATCAGTGATTGGCCAAACAGGGATCACATGAACAGTAGTAAACAAGATGTCACTTCCTGACATCATTGTTTGCTACTTGTGAATTCTGTGAATGATCACAGAGGTCACATGGTACAAGGCCATTCCTAGCAGCCTTGTACCATGTGATAAGCTGTGACCAATTACAGCTCTCACAGTATTTCTCAATGGCTGCAGGAATGATTGCTTTTACAGTCTTTATGGGTGTGAAAGCAATCAGTTACAAAAAAAAATAAAATCTTCATCACACCCCCAAGTAGTACAATGTCACTTTGGTGTGACACTGTACTGCTAGGGTGAAAGCATGTAATAAAACAAAAATATACATAAATAATAACATTAAAAAAAAACTAAAAATGAAAAGAAATATTTGAAAGTATAATTTTTTTAATAAACTGATTTGGGTTATT